ACCCCAGCTTAAGAGACATACAGAAAATTGTCTTATTAAGTACAGCACACACACTAAGGAGAACTTTGTCTATGTAACGCTAGCAACTTCATCGGAGATAAAAAAAAAAAAAAAAAAATTAACATGAAATGTGGCCATAACAACACACCACGACCTGCCTTAGGTCTTTCCGCAGACTTGGTAGGTAGTGTGTCCATAGCAGAAATCGAATGATGATGACAATAATAATAATAATAATAATAATAATAATAATCTTGTTTCAACAAACTGAAAAGAAGAAATTTGAAAGATGTTAACTTTTGTTGCCTCTTGTCCCACAACGGTTTTTGCTACGGAAGATTTTCTATTTGAGAATTTTTTTTTCTTTATAGAATATTAAAGCGTTTTTAGTTTTTAAAATGCCCCTCTTTTCTCCACTGTCTACCAATTAATCTGTGCTTCTTTAACGAATGAGACACGTCTGGAATCTTACTTTCTTCATTTTGGCTCCGATACAATTATATCTGCTTATTTGAACACAAAGCTTTCGCCCTGAAGTTCGGATTCCATTATGACATTATAAGACCTACTTATAAAATATAAACATATTATCCTAATTATATAAATAATCGCCCTATTCTCTCTGATACATTTGCTTCGTCAATGCAGTAAATAACACAGGTGATTAATAGGTCTTTTTTTATTATGATATTTGAGCCTATAAGTATTTCCCTGGTTCAGAGTTAAGTACATGTTGGTCATTTATACATCAATATCTAAACATCTGACTAAGGGATAGGTAAATATTGGTTACTAATACTAGAGCAGTATGCGAATATTTGCTTCAGATGTCGGTAAATATTAGTCGTTTAAGTTTTAAGTAATCTGTCATCACCTCGTCACAATCGATTTCTTTGATAAATTCAGACACATCGTTAAGAAATGTTTGGATACAAATTTTTATGCTCTAAGTAAGTACTGTTTGTTTCCTATCAGATTAATTTAACTTTAAATTTTCTAATTTTACTCAAATAACGTGTCAAAAATATATAAATGTATTTTAGGAAGAAGTTTAAAATCAAAATTTTGTTTGTTTACACATTTCTTAAAATTTAAGAAAATGGCCGCTTTTAAGAAAATTAAACAAAAATCGAGCATATATTTGACATTCCAATCTATATAATTTCTATCTGAAATACACCAGAATATGTTACTTACTGTAAGTAATAAATTTAATACTTTAGCTTTCAATTAATAACAACATATTGAGACAAAAATTGTTTTTGTTGACTTGAGCCTTTTTAATCGTGTATGCTGATTTTTTACGTGACCTAACGGAGGACCCTATAAGTATTTACTTGGCTCGGAGTTAGGTAGATTCTGGTCATTTAACATTGAATATTTAAACATTTACTTTGTGGCCCCTTTGAGTGAAGTTTTACCACTCTGCGTGAGATCATCTTCTATGTGTCGTGTCCCTCTAGGACGTGGGCGACCATGGCTCTCCGCAATACACCCCACTCACTGTTTAATTCAGCTACAGAGTAAGTTCAAATTTTCCTTTGTTTTTTACAGAAACACTCTTAAGAACATTCCTGGAATTCGTACTTTCTTTCAAGAATATTTCTTGAAATTTTCTGTACACGAAAATGTACTCGACTGAATAAAAATTTCTATCTCGTTTTTAAAACTTTTTTCTCAAAAACTTCAACATTTTTAGCTTTTGTTCAAGACACAACGCCTTCTCAACTTTAAACGTCATCTCCTAATCTTATAGCAACAGAGTATCGTGGCGTGTTTGAGCATTTTATTATATGTTATTCCGTATAGTTAGCGAGTAACAAATCAAATTTTCATGTTTAGTCAAGTGGCTTTCCGAATACTTCTGTCAAATAGTTTAGGGTTGTAGTTGTAATATTTGTATGAATTGCAAGTGCATGATCGTAAAACTGTAATAATTGTGGTAGAAAATTAGGCAAAGATCACGCAAGTTCATTGCTTGGAATGTGAAAGGAAATATACTGGAAATAAAATGAAAGTGATTTTTGCATATTTTAATTTTTGAAGATGACACTTTTTATAGTATTCTCTTTCAAAATAAACACTTTTTTCATTTTTTTTTTTTCATTTTTTTATTTTCCTGTAGAAACGATAAAACACTCAAGAAAATTAAAAAATTCATTCATATTAATATATTATTTTAAATGGAGTCTTTTCAGCAGTATTATTTTATTCAATCGACCACACTGAAACATAGTATCATTCGCAACTCCACGATCTTTTCGTTGGCTTTAATATATGCTTCGCCAGGGCTATATATGATTTTGAATTGAGTTTTTGCTTTTCCTACACTGGTTATGAACTACGGCTAGCGAGTTAAGTCTACCCTGCTATTTAACCCATAGCTTGGTGAGAGAGGGAGAAAAAGTGGATTCATACGTTTCCCAAGAATATTTGTACTAAAGTCAATTTTTCATTCCAAGCGGCTAAACATTATACTAACTGGACATCCAGTACTAACGGAGGGTTAATCATCGAATCACGTACAAGTTTTACAGATTGTCATGTTTAAAAGTTTTCTTTTATTCATTTGAAGTAGAAAAAAAATCAAATGAGACCATGCCAGACGAAAGTGGGGATAGGAAAAACAGAGAACGTTAGGAGAATAGATAAAAGAAAAGAAGAAAGTATGCTTAGATCAGAAGACAATGGGGAGAAAGATTTGTGGAGAAATTGCCTCAAAAGAATGTTTGTCTTGTAAAGTAGCAAATGCAACATCGAAAGCGGATTATGGGATTTGCTAAGAAGAAGAAAAAAACTTAAATGAGTTTAATAAGAAAGGTAAGAATAAAGAATTATTAATGACAGCGCAACACAAAGCGACAGTCAAGCTTAGTTCAGTCTGGCACAAGGCAGTAAAACTAGTACATTAAACAAGGATAGAGTAGAACATTTACTAAGCTGATCTTATCAAAAAGCCAAATAGACAAAGGAAAGAACGTGGAACACAGAAAACTGTATTACATTTTTTTTAAACGGAGAAAATGTCTATATAGAAAATTAGTATTCAATATCATTTTGTTTTTTAACAGGATTCCAACACCTACCTCTGTTACCAGTGAAAAATAATTGAATCACAAAGCAGACCCCATCTCTAATGGGAGTGTGGTTTGCTCAAGTGACTCTATTATTCGAAAATCATCGTGGCATTAGAGTGTCGAGAAACGATGTCATTATATCAGGCAATCGCAACGAGATCAGATATAAGTGGATTTTTGACTTTTCCAATGACATAACTGCGAAAAGAACATAGAAATCCCACAGCCGGAAATTGTGTAGTCCATCTGATATTTACTCATCCTAGTGCGATGTAAGGAAAATAATGAGGCGAGGAAGACTGTGTTGTGAGATACTGGAATGATAACCTTTTAACGTTTTTCAACCATGATGAATTAGGGCAGGTCGATTTTTTTATTTTTTAGGAAATCAACATTGCACTCGGTGTGAACGCTGGAGTTTTATGGGCTAAGTACTGACACCAAAAATTAAGTTCATGGCTTTTACCAACTTTTGAGCATTTTAGTTTTAAAAATCGTTTGAAAAAATGTACAGAAATACATAATTTCCACAGGTTTTTACTTAAAAACTGACTTCAAAATTTTACTATTTCAAGAATAAATCCAAATAAAGTTAATATCCTTTGTATTAGATACATTGAATGTAAAGTTTATTCAAACCATAATTCGTATGCATTTTTTACTGTATTCGATAAGTAAAAAATGTGTAAAAAATTGTAAAAGATTATAAAAAAAGGTTACTCAATAAATACGATTTGTTAGATCATTTATTAGATCATAATTAATAAAAACGAAAAAATAGATAAAAGTGTATATAACACCCTAATACTGCTGGGCACAAATTATAAAAAAATATATGTTTTAAATTTGCATTCTTTATTGAAAATTACACTAAAACTACTGCACTGTGTAACATATTACATCATAATATAGCTAAATTGTTCAGTATAATTTCCCATTAAAGTAAATGAAGGTTTTATTTAATGGCACAATAATTTAGTAATAATGTGCTTGTGTCATGAATCTTGTTCAAATAAAATTTACAAAGCTTCAGTAAGTTATAAATTTTATAAGGCTGTGCCATAAGTCTTTCATTGGTCACCAGAATGAAATTGTAACGCTACGATTTTTAACCTAAACTTAATCTTTAAACTCATTTCCTCAAAAAACGGTAACGATTTGGAAGAAGATATTTTGTGTCATTATTTATTTATTTATTTATTTATTTATGCCAAATACCAAACTTTCAAATTGAGTGCAATACCACGAAAATCGAATCTCTCATATTAGCAAAACTGATCTACGCGAGACAAGATTGCCATCTATTACGTTAACGGTGGGATCACGAGAAGCGGTGGATAAATTAGGAGAAGATAGGGAAGGAAAAATTTCGAGGTGTGACGAAAAGTAGACTGAAAGATGTTGAGAAAAAAAAAACAGTTCGGTAAGAGAGAGTAGGAGAGAAAAAGAAAATAATTATATTTTTATACACCAAATTTCACTAAATACAAGGCTCAAGAACCACTCGAGTTAGAGTTTAAATGGTAATGATGAATGAGGCGTGTGATATGAATAGAAAAAAAAAGATGATAAGAAATGAATATAAGGAGAAAAGAAAACGATTGACTCTGGAATTGAAGAGGTCAAGTGAGCAATCATGTGGGAGTCCGTTCCTCAAAATGGCAGTTTTTTGAGAAAAACAAGTCTGTTACAGTGGAACTGTTTTTCTTACTTTTGGAACAAGTTGGAAATTAAGATGAATCGACACTGTGGACATGACATGGCGAACCAAGCTGTAATGACCTGAACTGGTCAGCCTAAAGAAAGGAGCTCATCTGAACATTAGCTAATGGAAATAACAATTGACTAGTAACAGATTTGCCACATTTCGTTTGCGGGGAAAGAGTGGAAAAAGTTTTCCACCGCAAAGTCCGCGTAAAGGATTTAAGGATAATAACTGAGAAATGGATTAAGAGAGTGAAGGAAGGATAGAAAAAAATGAAGATAAGAAAGAAAGAAAGAAAAAAAGAAAGAAAGAAAGAAAGAAAAAGAAAGAAAGAAAGAAAGAAAGAAAGAAGATAGGAAAGAATTAATTAAAAGTGTTATTAAAACAAACAGTAAAGAAAACGTAAAAGCAAAGAAAGGGAAATAGAGAATATAAAGAAATGAAGAAAAGGAGAAAGAATTTGGAAGCGCGAAGTTAAGAGAAGGGAATAGCCACGAAAAAGAGGGAGAGAAATAAAGAGGGTGAGAAATAAAGAGGGAGAGAAAGTAGTGAAATTGTGAGAAAGAAATTATAGAGAAAAACAGAGACGGAGACAAAGAGCGAAATGCAGTAACAAATACATAGAGAGAGAGAGTGGGGGCAGAGAGCGATAAGTGAGTGAGAAGTGAAAGGAGAGAGAGAAGTATGTGTATGAGAGAGAGTGATTGTTTGTGTGTGTTTGAGATAGAGATAGATAAATAGATAGATAGAGAGAGAGAGAGAGAGAGAGAGAGAGAGAGAGAGAGAGTAAGTTTTAAGTTTAATCTCAGCTTTGTTCATTTTGCATCGCCTCTGGCCAGGGGATTTACACCCGCGTCTGCCTTACTTTTTCGTCATCGCAAATTTTGTATCTCACTCTCCCTTTGGCTCAGTCATCATTAAACACTCCCACTCTCACACATATTCATTTCTTTTTGGCTTCCCCACCTCTTCTCGTTTGTATCTACTTCTCTTCTAAGGCAAACGGCGGCTGTACAATACCCATTCAGCTTCAGTTAGAAAAGAGCCTGCAATACCATGGCGAACGAATCAGAAGAATCTAAACCAGAAGTAAGTCAAAAGATTGATTAATATTGTTTTCAAAACATTACACTTAACCGATATAATCGCTCCATTTACTTGTAGAATTGTTTTGTTTTGTTGCGCATTTCGAGGGGGGTGCGCCAAAATCAAATCTTTTGATTGTAAATGTAATTATCATTAGTTTTTTTTGTTTTGTTATTTTTTTTTTGTGTGTGTGTGTATATGTGTGTTGTTAGCGTCTATTCGGTCTGATTATCGTTCATTAAAATGATGGTGACGATGATGATGACCATGATCATGATCATAATGGCGAAAAGGGGTCGCCTTCCAGTAAGATATTCTTCATTAAGCGCAACTGGAAACACACAGACACAAGGAAAATGTGGATAAAAAAAAAAAAAAAAAGGAAGTGACCAATTTTTATTCGTCCGTTATTTTCTTCTTTCACTTTTCGCAGACGATACACGAATGTGTTTGTTTTGCTGTTGCTTTGAGGAGATCAACAAAAGAAAAGAAAGCAAGATGTGAAGAGCCAACAAACTGAAGGGATAAATACAGAGGCGGGACGGGGTGGGACCAGGTGGGGCGGGGTGAGGCGGGGGTGGTGCGGAGGTCGAGTTCTTTTAAGGGTTCGTTTGTCAGGTTGTTCTTTTAACAGAATGAATTATTTTCGAAGTAATCTTGAATACAAACGTCTGTGCACTCGAATATTTCTCGTCCCGTCATTATTGGACATAAGAGCTTTATTGAGTTTTGTTTAAATCTTTACTATCTATCTATCTATCTATCTATCTATCTATCTATCTATCTATCTATCTATCTATCTATCAGCTGTTTTCTCGTTCTTCATAAATATATATATATATATATATATATATATATATATATATATATATATATATATATATATATTCTGTAGTTTACTGCTACCAGCAAGCAGAAATATTTCTTCTCCTGATGATGGCCATTTTGGCCGAAACTAATCGAGGAATCTAAATGAAATAATAATAAAAAAACGAAAGAACATTAATCTACAACCCAGTGTGTCTGAAGATTTTAATTTTTAATATTTTAAAAATTTTTAATACTTTTTTATTGTTCAAAAAAAAAAATTATATATATATGTAGAGAGAGAGAGAGAGAGAGAGAGAGAGAGAGAGAGAGAGAGAGAGAGAGAAAGAGAGATATGGGAAGAGCGAGTAAAAGGCTATATATATATATGTGTGTGTGTGTGTGCATGTGTGTATGCGTGTACGATTTCTTATGTGTCAATCAATTCTTAACTAAAATTGTCACTTGATATCTAAAACAGTTTAATTAACAGTTTGTTATCTAAGTAATTTCATTAGTTTGTCATCTAAGTAATTTTATCTATCTATGCACACAAATCTTTACAACTTTCTTAGTATTTTTCTAATTGCTAATCAATTTCTGCTTGTTCACACACACACACACACACATATATATATATATGTATACATATAATATATATATATATGTATATTGTATATGAGTGTATTTTTTGCATGAATAATCAATCTTAGTTTGTTCATATGTGTGTGCGTGTGTCCGTCCGTATATATGTGCGCGTGTGTGTGTATAATTATATTATTGAAAATTGCTATATTTAGCGTTTGTAGAAATAGCCAGTTGTCGCGATAAAAATCAACATTGCATTATGGTTCAGTTTCATTTCTCATGAGATCTTAAGTCACCATGCAGTGTTTATTTCTATATCAACACTCTTTTTGCCTGTCTCTCTTTCTCTCTATCTCCCTCCCTCTAATATATACATACATACGTACATACATACATACATGTGTGTGTGCGTGTGTGCGTGTGTGTGTGTGTGTGTGTGTAAAAGCGAATTTATCTGCATCGTTCTCGATGTGTTCATTATCTATTTACTTACCTCACTTGGCTCCTTTCTATATCACTCCCTCATAATAACTGCCTCTCTTGCTTGTGTGTCAATAAATAAATAAGGAATGTCTTTGTATGTAACCACAGGACAGTCGTATATTTATTCGTCAATTAACAAATAAATGTGGTTACCTCAGAAGCATATTTCACATATAGGCCAACATTAGTATTAATTTGTATATCTATAAGTACATCTTATTTTTTTTTTCTTTTGTTCTAATGAAGTTTATAAATAACAGTGCATAACACTTTTGCATGAGCATGCGCCGTGGGTGCAAGTGCTATTCTCTCTTCAATGCGCCTGTACAAGTTGATGTGTCATAGGGTGGTCGTAGTTTTATTTATTTCTTACATATATTAATATTCATTTAAATCACCATATCATTTTTAAAGCCATGACCCTTCAAGTCGTATGCGATTATGACCTTCCACAGATTTCCTTATTTTATTATCTGGGAGTGGCTATGGTTTAATGAGAACGAATGGTTTTCTTCTCCACAACCTACATTTCAGAATTTTACTTCTCTTAGACAAGTTGCCGCCCAAAGGCTAGAGTTCGTTTTGCCATGGTATTTAATCCTTGTGGCTGTGGTTTTACAGTAGTGTCAAAAAATTCGACATATGTCCACTTTACATGAGAATCAAAAAGATTTTACTGTTTTAAACTAGTAGGCATTTGTCCGGTTTTACAATAGCATTCAAGAGGTTGAAATAGGCCAAGTTCTAGAATAGAGTAAAAAAAAAAAAAACTAGATTTAAGTATGGTTTTTACTAAAATGCAAAAATTTAAACTAGAGTAAAAGGCAGGCATTGACCCAGTTTTACAATGACGTCATAATGTTAGAAATAAATTCAGTTTACATAAGAGTGAAAGAGTCAGAAGGTATACACATATCTGTTTTTTAACTTGAGTTTAATAATAGCGATTTCTAGAGAATAACCATCCTTTTGACACTTATAAGGTCCAAGATTGCCGAAAACTCAATAAAAAATAAAATTCGATACATTCGTATAGGTATGTAATGTAGATTTCAAGATCAAATCAGTAAAATGTAAAAATACAGATTTAAAAAAAAACGTATTTAACAAACTATTTCGTACACTTTATTCCAGCTTGTACATTGTTTAAGCATTTCACCCCAAGCAAGGCAATAAAGCCATTAAGACGCAAGGGATTACTGATTATGAAAGAATATGAGAAAAAGAAAAAAAAAGAGAACAATAAAAGATTAGGAATTAAGAAGTCAGAAGATAATGATTGAGATTGCATTTAAATTTTTGAAGATCAATGTTGACTGTAAAGTAAGAGGCCGAAAGAGAGTTCTACATTTGGCGCAAAATCTGACTCTCATCGGGTATCTTTAGGGTTTATTTAGAGACTTTCATGAAGAGAAATTTCAACAATGACTGGTTGTGATCTAGTTTCGTGTGCAAAACAAAAGAGCCTTAAAACTTTCGAGGTAGATTTATACTTTACTATTTCACTGTTGGATGTACAGGTAGTGTTATAGTTAGCGGCTAGGAACGAGAATTCAGCGAGCCGAGTTCAAATTTCTATTGAACTTGTTGCATTCACTTTCACATAAATACCACTGCGGAAGTTATAAATTCCTCTGTTCTCCTTCCTGTTATGGGTTAAATATCAGAAAAGACTGGTATCTCCAGCAGTATTTAACTATCAGTCTAAGAGAAGGACAGCAATGAATTCAGGACCTCATCACCTGAAGATGTAAAAAGATGGTTAGATGTGCAAATTATATATCTGTAAAACAAAAACACGAAGGATTTCAACAACCGCGTTTGAGTCCCACTAGAGGGCGATACTCCAGGTTTTTTGACACCAACGGGTATTTGGCTCAACGAAGTTGAATGGTGGATAGATTTATGTGTTCATGGAAATAAACCAATTGAATCGAGGCTTTGATTGTGAGGTGGAAACTAAGATTTCATTTAGCAAGCAAGGCAAGCTGCAGAAGACAGAGCATCTATATATATATATATATATATATATATATATATATATATATATATATATATATATATATATATATATAAAAAAGAAAAAAAGAAAACATTAGATCTTCAAGAAAAAAGAGTTTTATTTAATGATGTTTAAATATTTTAAGAAAGTTACATTATCCTGCTTGAAAGGATGGACTTAGCGTCTCCATTTTCTCGGTCGTAAAGTCTGTTCCGTTTTTTTTTTTGTTTTTTTTTGTTACTAGTTTTATCATTACAAGAGTCAGACTATCCAAAAAATTAATATTACTGCTATATTTGAGCTGGAGATGCTCAATCCTAACTTTCCATTCTTGACAGAGTTCAAAATCGTTTAAGTAGTTTTTCTGTGGAAAGGTGGGGTGGAGACTGTAGACTTTTTCCTATATACGCAACGTCACAAGCCTATCGCTACTCTATGTCTATGACAAATGTACGGATAAGCTTTATTTTTTTCACCCTCATTTCTCTCGTGTTCCAAAGTTAAGAAGAACGTTCTACTCAGACAGTTTTTTTTCCCCAGAAATTACACTTTTTGGAACAGACTCCCGCGTGGATATTTCCTTGATCACTATAAGCTCCTCCAAGTTACGGGTCAGTAGTTATCTGTCCTCATAACCTCCTTCATTCATATCACATTTCATCTATCATAACCCTATCAAAGGTAACTCTCTATCTTGAGTGTCACTTGAGCCTTGTATTGTGTGAACTTTAGCATTAAAAAAACAATACTGACTGCAGGCATATCACGTTATCGTAGTTTTTATTCATCAGCTTCATCGTAGACACCCCCCCCCAAAAAAAAACACCTGTCGTATTCTACGGTAAAGTGTAAATATGTGTGTCCCTCTTGTTGTGTATAGGTTTGTGTCCGAACATGCATTTGGCGTTAA